AGAAAAGCTTGCAATTCTGTAAGTAGAATTGAAGTTTGTCTCTAAAAATCTGTCGCTTAAAGGACCAATCAGCATTCTACTGTTTTGCTTCAACGTACCAATTTTCATTCAATGCACTTTTTCCTTGAATAACCTAAAGAAACTGTTTTCTTGCACTTTGACATGAGCACATGTAAACTACACACCTTATGGGTGTGATATACTGTCTGTTGCATGTAGAGGCACTTAGTACAATTATTTAATATAAAACCATAAACATGTGTGTCAAGAATTGCTGAGTAATAAGTAATAAAGGGAAAGATGGAACTGACCATGGGACCTTTGGAGCTTAGTGAATTAGCATCTATCGCTTGAACTAAAAGCCAGCTGCTTCTCAGCTAATGCTGTAGAGCAAACTCATTCTTTTTCCCTGTAAGTGGTCTATTTCATTGTTCCCCAACCTTCTCCAGTATAAGACACACTTAGTTCAATAAAAGATTTCTGTGGCACACCACTGCCCCATGCTCAAATCATTATAACAAAACTTACTTTTCATTGTAATAGAGATGTAGCCGTGTTAGTCCTGTTTTTTGTTTCAGCTAAACTAGACTAACAAGATGGTTTATTAGGTGATGAGCTTTCGTGGGCCAGACCCACTTCCTCAGATCAAATTGTGGAAGAAAATAGGCATGACCACATATACCAAAGGGATACAATTAAAAAAAAGTGAACACATATAAAAAGGACAAATCAAATTTCAGGGATGTAAATGTCTGTGAGCTAATGGTATTAGAGGTGATAATTGGGGAAGCTATCTTTGTAATGGGTAATTATCACCTCTAATACCATTAGCTCACAGACATTTACCTCTCCCCCCATTCGCTCTCTGCCCTGAAATTTGATTTGTCCTTTTTATATGTGTTCACTTTTTTTTTTTAATTGTATCCCTTTGGTATATATGGTCATACCTATTTTCTTCCACAATTTGATCTGAGGAAGTGGGTCTGGCCCACGAAAGCTCATCACCTAATAAACCATCTCGTTAGTTTTTAAAGTGCTACATAGTCCTGTTTTTTACTATTCACTGGAAATTTGAGTTAAGCTAAATATGCAGTCATTGAATCTCAGCAAAAACTGTTGACAGTGCAACTTGGAGTTTTAGCACCACTGATCGCATATGCACCCTTAGTTTGTTTTTGAAGTAATTCAAATTTACACGAGTACTTTGTTGAAAATGGCAACAAAATGGAGGTAGTGTGGTGTTACATTCATCTGTCACTGTCAACTAGAATGAGTCCAAAGACACGTTGCCAAACTTAATTTTAAAAGGGTGGTCCATCCTTAATTCATCAAGTTAATCTTGAATCATTATTTTAAAACTTTTATCACTTCCCATTGCAGAAGAAATTCCAGGTTCTCAAACCCAGTCAAAATCTTCTATTTAGGTGCCACAGGATTACTTGTATTTAGGTTGATAATATGTGCATATGAAAACTTCACTGATCTGGAAGTTCAAAAAATGAAATCTCAAGAAAACACAGGAAGACAAACAAACACTGAATTGCTTTCTTCCTGCAAAAACAAAGTTCTTCCATAGCCCCAATTTGTAAAAATCAGATTACAATCCAAAATAAATATTTTATGGACTTCATTTACTGAGTCTATGAAAAAGTGTCATACAATAATATACGTATTATAATATATAGATCTTCTACAGTCCTGGACTTTCCTCCCTTCCCTTAAGAGGTCTTACAAGCTCATACCTTGGACCTGTGACATCTGCAGATCTTTGTATTAACCCACAAGAACTAGCAATGATATTCTGCAGAGGAGGCTCTGTATTACTTAGGCTTTAGTACTAATGGGAACAGACTCCTTGGCACCACAAAATAAAACTTTAGAAAGACGACATACAAACCAAGCATACACGCTTTTTTGTTGCTAAAAGAACCGTAGCAGGCTGCATCTTTTCAACTTCAAAAAAACCTCTGATCAGTATATATTAACTAATGTAACACTATGAAATATTTTAAATTAACTATTAATTTTCAGTTTAGCAAGTTTCTTTACCATGTATAATACCTTATTATATTCTTGATTCACACTATTATAAGAACAAAGTAAGAAAACAGTTATTAATAATCTAAGATTTTTAAAAGGTTTTTCTAAATTTAAGATGGATGGAAAATGCTATTTGACTTAAAATTATACACACACACACACACACACACACACACACACACTTGAATTTTGAATGCGTACCCTAGCAAAATAGTTGTTTAGACTAGGATACAGATAGTGCATATACAGAATAATATTTTGATCTTTCCTTTTAATGAAAATAATCAAGTATTTGTTCACAGAATTACTAGGACTTGATTCTGCAACAGTTACTCATTTGAATAGTCTTCCTGATTTCAGCTGGGCAACATGCATGAGTACAGATGACTTACCTGAACACAGACAGTTTTCAGATTTGTTCTAAAAGTATTACTGACTCTATCCTTAGAAATGAAGGTACTCTATGCCTCTTAGGACTGAGTCCTAAAAATAGTAAATCTAATGATTTAACAAACACAGGTCTTAAATCTGCAGGCCAAAATCTGTACCCACTTTCACCTAATGCAGATCCCTAACAGAAAGCAGAAGCTGTTCCCAGATATGTATTTTTATTACTAATAATAGGTACATGATATTAGAAAAGTATCTCTATACTTAAAAAAAGGAAATGTACATTTACTTACCTGATTGGGTCGTCCTCCTATAATATTGAATCCCAAAGTGTCATTTTCTCTTTGTAGCATGATGGTTAATGGTTTAGGTTCTCCTCCCTAAGAAGAAAGGGGTGAAACGCTAATTTTAAAATGTTACTTGAAAAAGAAAATGTCAATGGAATACATCAATGTTCTATAGCTTTTCATTGTGGAAAATGCAAGCCAAACAGGGTGAATAGAAAATTATGATTAAAAATGGTGCTACATACAAATGATGCAGGTGTTTACAATGAGAAAAAAAACAAATACTACTGAAATGTAACAGGTACTTTGAAGAGCCAGATGACCTGATGTTCATAAGTTACTGGAACTGGGAGTGCTCAGCACCTCTTGAAATAAGGCCCCAAATGTTTATGTACTTTTAAAACAAACCCCTACGGACACTAATTATATAAGATTATTAAGTTTAAGGTGTGAAATCCTGGCCCTAATAAAGTCAATGGGAGTTTGGTCATTGATATTAATGGAGCCAGGATTTCACCCATATCTCTGCCTCTTACCATTTCCAGCTCCAAAAGCTGGTTCCATACAGATTTCACAGTAATTCCTTTTTTCTTTCATAAAAAAAGCAAATTATAGCAAATAAGTTAGAAAATACACACACACACACACACACACACACACACACACACACAAAGTGCAGAGTACACAAGAAAAATAGTCACATGCAGGAAAGAGGTGAAAAAGATTTGATTTGATAAATCACAGAATCAAAAATAGTGAAGACACCAAAGATTTAAAATAATAATATATTAAAAAGACCTACTTCCTTGGGTAAAAGTGGTTAAATAATTTTCTAAGCCATGCAAGGAAAATTTTAAAAGATTATGACAGGCTTTTCATTAGCATTGTAATTTATTTTTAATTTTAACTTATAAAAGTAGTTATATTCCAGGAGACATAATCCCCACAAAAATCTGTATTCAGCCTATACCATGTAAAGTAAGACTGTGTTTTGTCATTCTCTATACTTTGGTAAATGGTACGTTAGCAATTTTCATAGGTGAAGAAACTCTAGTTTTAAATATTCAGAATATAGTAATGAATGTAATGGCATTCTAATATCCAAACAAAAATTTTATCAACGGCAGCTGTGAATATTACATATTACAGCATGATACATTTTAAATTAATGAGGAATATTTTTTATTTTATTTGTAATTTTTCTTCCAAATGAAGGTTTTGTTCATTTTCCTTGTCTTCAGTAACAGATTTCTCTGAGGCAGTACATACAGCAGCACCTACTGGTACTGATGAGAAATGGAAGCTATTGAAGTAGTATGTCAGGATGGCAACTCCTTTTAAATGTCCTTATGAAGATCCAGTTCTTTTTCACCTCCTTCCTGCATGTGACTATTTTTCTTGTGTACTCTGCACTTTACTGCAATCATTGCTAGTTCTCTTCATTCCACCTCATCGTATTTTCCCTGAGGTGCAACAGATATATGAGCATATCTTCTAAAGCCAACTCGCCAAACCCACGGATTAGCAACCAGATTTGCAAAAAAAAAAAAACAAGATGATTAAGTATTCAAATTCCTAAAACACTAAGTACTTTATTTCCAATAAATTCTGAATCTGTCATCCTTATCCTGGTCATAAAAACCCTGAGAACTTGAATCAGTGCCCCAGTGTGAGTCTCTTTTATAACAGTTTGAAGTTCAGCATATCATGCTAACGCTGATAGAAGCCAGCAAGGCTACTCAAATTTTTTTCCTCTGGATTTTGCTTCAAAAGAGTCAATAATGATTTTGGAAGAGAAGTCTCTTGAGTGGAGCTTACATTCCATTAAATCATTTCTCACCATGGTTGCAACCAGCAATGTCAGACTCTGCACAGAAATCCTTCAGACAGGAATTAAAGCTTTACAGAACAACTCCTTTAGCTTGCTAAGCCATCTCACCAGTAGCACTTGGCAAAAGGCTGAAGCAGCAGTGCTGGTCTCTCCTGTCAATATTGCCAATCATTATGCCCTTCCCCAAAACTACTTCCGCATCCCTGCAGAACTGTACCTAAACTCTAAAGGATTCTGTTCTTTTTAAATAACAAACTGTTTTCCAAGTTGCTGCTTAGTACTATAATGATAAGAAAATATATCTGGTCACTTCTTACCTACCTGAAATTAGAACGTCACCTAAGGAAGATATAATACCAGCATTAATAAGATCATACTCAGCTGGAAGAATAATGGTCTGTTCTAGACACCCAGTGGAAGATTTGCATTAAAGTTTGTGAACTGTCAGCTAAGTTGAAGCCCTTTCCTCTGATTTATGTTTCCCTCTCCAGACATGAGATCCAAATTGAGTCACTGGGGTCTACCAGAGACATGATTCCTCCAAATTGAGTCACTGGGGACAGAGGCTGGTGTGCAACCCTTATGGATGCCAAATTCTTGAACTACAAAAGGAGACATGAAACGCAGAACCCAAAAGGACTAAGGTAATTTATGTCACATTTTAGGCTCTCTGCACTCTGAAAAAAAATGAGGGAGCAGAAAGAATCTGCTTTCACAGCTCTTGAAAGATGAGTTTTCCAGGATGAAGGAATGGGGAAATGAAATGTAAAAGTTTGATTTACATCACTTTGTTTCCAGACTTTTCAACCATCAGCACAGCAAGAGAGCTCGGATGCAGGTTACCGAGTGTTACCTGCCTGCCTCTCTGCTTTGGGGAGGGGGCTCTCCAAGGGACCTCATCGGGGGCTGACACTGCAATCCCAGGTCCAAGAGGCTGCTGTGTGTGTCCGCTCCAAAAGCGATCACACAAGCAGGTATGGAATAAACAGCACAGAGGGTCCGGTCCCTGCCGCTGGGGTCGGTCAGTGGAGTGCAGCAGAGTTTGGCTCGCAGAGGATCTGGCCCCGAGTGGCTCGTGGCGTTGGCGGTCTCCCCCAGGAGCTGCTATCATAGGTGCTGAACTGGGGAGGAGGGGGTTCCAATAGCGACCCTCCTACCTCGACGTGATTTCCATGCTAGGGCGGGGGGTTACAGGTTGGTCCCATGTTCCAGCCCCTCACGGCTCGGCACCATCCAAGGAGCGGCCCCGCCAGGCAGGCATCCCGGTGCAAACACACCCCGAAGCCGCCAGGCTGCGCTCCTGCCGCCCCGCCCGCCCGCTCGCTCGCTCACTCACCGTGCAGGGGGGGCTGCCGGCCAGGCTCCTGGCGAGGCTGCTGAGGTGGCTCATGTACTGGTTGAACTTCACCCGGTACCTCAGCGCCGTGAGCTGCACCTCGCTCTGCAGCGCCGCGAGCTGCGCCAGCAGCGACTTCTCCCTCGTGCTCCACTCCCGGGCCTGTCGCTTCAGCGCCGGCTCCAGGCCGGCCCGGGGGATGCCGCTGTGGCTGCGCAGCGCCCGCAGGCAGCAGCGCCCCCCGCCCCCCGCCAGCAGCAGCAAGTCGCAGCCCTGCGGGCAGGGGCCGGCCGGCCGGCGCTCGCAGCTCTCCCGCCTGGGCGCCTCCAGGTCCGGCAGGCTGCGCACCTCTGGGCAGCCCTGGTGGCGGCAGCGGGCCGGGCTGTAGTCGCACCACTCGACGTGGGCGGCCAGCTGGTGGAGCCGCACGGTCCTGCCGCAGCCCCGCGGGCTGTAGTCGCACTTGACCTCCAGCTTCTGGATGAGGCTCCGGAGCGGCAGCACCTGGTGCAGCTCCTTGGCCGAGAGGGGCTGGCACTGCAGGGGGCAGCGGCGGCGCTGCAGCGCCCAGGGCAGCAGGCAGCCGGCGCAGAAGACGTGCCCGCACGGCGTGGACAGCGGCTCCTCCAGCACCTTGCTGCACAGTTTGCACTTGAGATCCGGGTCCACGGGCTCGGCAAAGCGATCCAGGTCAAAGCCCATGGCTGGCGGGGGGCGGGGAGCACTGCACAGGCGGGGGAGAAACTTTCCAGCAGCGGCTGCTGCTGTTTCTCCTGCCAGCCCGGCTGCTGATGCAGGCAGCGCGGCTCCAACTTCCAAGGAAAGCGGAGGATGAAGAAGGGGAGGGCAGCGCGGAGTTTGTTTGGTTTGAAGTTTTCAGCGGCTCACCCAGTCCTCTGATCCTCCCGTATTCACTGTAATAGGAGCGACCGCCCAATACCCCTCCCCCCCATTCCTCCGCCATCACCTCCGCCCTTTTGTTGCATCCCTCCCAGCAGGGAAATGCAACAGGGCAAGGGGGGGAAGAAGCTGAGATCTGCCAGACCCAGAGTCAAGCCTGAACTGAAGGAGAATGAGGGGAAAGCAACCACGCCAGCTCCCTTCCCTGTGCTGTGGGGGAGCTGGGAAGAGGGGTAGGAGAGATGCAGGAATGGGGCAGGAGGGAGCTGCTGGCATACCAGGCAAGCGATGAGCCCACAGCAATTTGGAACTGATTTACTCCCAGAGATCTCCTCCTTGCCCTCCTCTTTGGGATCATTAGCCATTGGGATATTCCTCCCATATGCCTCCTCTCCTATCCCACCTCCCCCTTAAAGTCTTTTATTTTGTCTCTTAGAAAAAGGAATGAAAAACAATCCCAAATCAAGCAGCAGAGAAACACTGGAATTACAGGTTATTTGGGTAGCCCGTGTAGGTAACAGATAGGAAGGGAAGGGCTAGATCCCCAGCAGGAGACTTAGCCTGCTAGAGAGCTCTCCCCCACAGCTGCTGCAGCTCAGAAGTCATTAAGAGAGATGGAGGGAGGAGCACCCATTACAGCCCCAAACTTATGTGCAGCTCTTGGGACTGTTGTCCTCAGTATAGGTTATTTCAGACTGGATTGTGAAAAATGGAATTGTAGAAAAGCTGCAATTGAAAGTAGTACCAATGCACTAGGCCAAAAAATGCCACCAATGAAATGGAGTTAGTTGTAGATCTCCCATAAATGGTCACACATGTATAAAGAATATGACCATTTTAAAATCTAAATATGTGAAAGTCTGGACATTAATCTTACTCAGAGCTTAAAGTAGGCTGGGTGGCCTCAAGTCTCAGAGGTGGACAAAATAAAAACTATGAAGTAGGTTTTGTGGGAGTCAATTGCAAGTGAAGAGGTGATGCAACCAAACATACATTGCAGCCCTTTTGAAAACCAGGAGAGTTATTAAGGTGTGTAAATGAAAGTTTAATCATTTAGACTGAGGCATCCATTTTTTTTAAAGTACCCGCCTTTGTTTCTTAATGCAGCTCGCAAGTTGCATCCCTTAATAGTATTTCAGTGCATTGGTGTTCCAAGTAGATTCATTCCAAATTATCCTTCCTATTCTTTTCTGAGGGTTAAGGACTTTAAGACAACAAATAAGAACTGGCTTGTATAAAACATAATATTCAATGATCTCCCATTGAAGTGTTAACTAATTTATAAAACTCAACTTCCATACATCATTATAAAGAAAAACAAACATACATGCAGCAAGTTACTCATGCTGAGAAGTACCACCATGTGAGTACTTAGAAACATCTCCCAGACACTGGTCTGAGATTATGCTATGAAGATTTTGGAGGTTCTAGAATAGGATCCAGTCTTACTGGTCCCTATCTCGTAAGGCAAAATCCATGAGCAGTGCACCATGTTAATTGTTGCCCATTACAATCAATATTTTGCTAAGTTTGCCTCACAAAGGAGTTCTCATTACAACCCAGTTCAAACTTGTGAGGCCTCAGCATTTGGACTTGTTACTTCCAGAGAGCTCACCATAGCAAGATAATGGCTAATAAATGTCACGCTACAATATCTCTCTTCACTCATGATCCTTAGTTCCAGTTTCAAGAGCTATGAATCATTTGGTAACAGATGTGCCTCATATCATATTCACTCCTCTCGTAATTCCATAAATATTTAACAAGCTCCTTGTTTTCTCTGACATGGAGTTTGTGTCCTACTGGAACTCAGGTTGCTGCAAAATGCTCATCTTGAGCATTAACTTTTCATGTTTCATGCACAGACACACACACACTTTGAGGAGAGGCTCCAAGGGAAACACTATGTCAGTGGGAGTTTTTTGGTACAGGCTGAACCTCTCTAGTCTGGCACCCTTGGGACCTAACCAGTTCCAAATGAGAGAATTTTCTGGACCATGGGAGGTCAATATTGTCTAGCAGCATTACCAAAATGTCCACTGCTTACTATACTGTTAGAGGACATTTAGGAGGAAATTAGAGCTAAATAACATCACAGAGCTAGGACTGGTGGCTGTAAACAAACTTTATGGGACCGCAAAACTTGGCCACACTCATGAGAAGTGAACATCCAGCTAAGTAAAATCATTCCAGATGATGGATGTTTCCAGACAACAGAGTCTGGGACTAGAGAGGTTCAACTTGTAGTGTAGAAGAGCATGAAACCCAAGGTTACCAGAAAGATGTGGAAGGGGCTGGGTAAGCAATATAAAAGTAAGGGCTCTGTTTGCAGATAGCTCTTGCCTCAGATATGTCCTAAATGTAAAACATACAACTGTTTCCAAGGAAGGCAACCAATCAAATGGAAACATTTCAAGATAAATTGTATTTTGAAAACTATGTGGTGTAAGGTGATGGACCTCTTAAGGCATCTAGACAGACATATTTGGCATGCTTGGAAGGAGCCAGTGGTCATGGTACACGTAGGTACCAATGACATGGGGAAGGGTAGTAGAGGTGTCCTGGAGGCCAAATTTAGGCTGCTAGAAAAGAGACTGAAATCCAGGACTTCTATGATGGCATGAAGGCCAGTTAGTCAGGCAGAACTCTATGGCTGTGTCTAGACTGGCATGATTTTGCGGAAATACTTTTAACGGAAAAGTTTTTCCGTTAAAAGTATTTCCGCAAAATAGACTGGCCACGGATGCTTTTGCGCAAAAGCATCCGTGGCCAGTCTAGACACGATTTTGTGTAAGAAAGCCCCAATCGCCATTTTAGCCATCAGGGCTTTTTTGCGCAAAATAGTTCTTCCCTGTCTACACTGGCCCTCTTGCGCAAGTATTCTTGCGCAAGAGGGCATTTTCCCGAGTGGGAGCGTGAAAGTATTTGCACAAGAAGCACTGATTCTGTTTCCGTATATTACAAAGTCAGTGCTCTTGAGCAAATTCAAGCGGCCAGTGTAGACAGCTGGCAAGTTTTTGTGCAAAAGTGGCCGTTTTTGCACAAAATCTTTCCAATCTAGACGCACCCCGGCTACGTCTACACTGGCCCTTTGCCGGAAGGGGCATGTAAATTTCACGAGTCGTCGTAGGGAAATCCGCAGGGGATTTAAATATCCCCCGCGGCATTTAAATAAAAATGTCCGCCGCTTTTTTCCGGCTTTTAAAAAAGCCGGAAAAGAGCGTCTAGACTGGCCCCGATCCTCCGGAAAAAGTGCCCTTTTCCGGAGGGTCTTATTCTTACTTTGAAGTAAACACTTTGAAGTAAACACTTTGAAGTAAGAATAAGACCCTCCGGAAAAGGGCACTTTTTCCGGAGGATCGGGGCCAGTCTAGACGCTCTTTTCCGGCTTTTTTAAAAGCCGGAAAA